TCAAACCATTCGCTGATCCTATGAATGTTCCAGTTCTGGTAATAACATCACCTCAGAGCACTGGAGCTACATGATATGTTGTCTTCCCTTGGCAAGGACTGAGTGAGATGAAAGTGGAAATAAGCCTTCATAAAATCTCCCCTTTCATATTTCCATAAATGAGAGCAGTGCATTTCAGCTCTAGGAAGAAATTAGTTCAGTGACACCTCTTACAAACCTAGTGGGTTTGGATTTTTTTTCTGGCATAAATGCAGATTAGCTTTAGAGGGGGAGAAGGACAAAGGTTATAGAGAGATCAAGAGCCAGAGATGAATCTTTGGGAGAACTAGAGTAGGTGAATGGAAGCCTTACCTTTATGAAGGAGGAAAAGCAGTGTTTCTATACATAGAAAGTTGCTGCCTCTGAAGTTGGTGGAAAGAGTTTGTTCTTTTAAAAAGGATAATCTGAAAGCATGTTTCTTTAAATCATGAGCTTGGGCCATACTCTAGTAGAAATCTGTTTCTTCACTATATAAAATTTTCTTATAGTGTATTTATATATTTAAACTTGTGCACCCAATTCACATGAAAAATATCTTAGCATACATAAGTTCTAAGTTGGTGTTACCTTGCCATAAGTGGTTGTGAAAAATACCCAAGTCCCTTTACCTTAAGCCACTACTAAGAAAGTATATGGCTTTACGCTTTACTCGGAAGCTAATTCTGTCTTAGCAAGAGCTACACTTTTCTTGCTAAATGCAGTGTGGAAGTAGCACGCACTTTTGTGGCTTTCTGACACTTTTTTGGTAACTGAGTTGAATTTAAAATGCATATCGTGCTGCAGAGTTTTTTCTGTGCTGCGAACCGGGGGATGGAGAAGAATTGGTGGAATTTGTGCTCTCAGGACTGGCAGGTTTGTAAACAGCCTTGTCCCACTGCACCTTGAGCAAATCTGTCATTGTTGGGTCTTTGCACTGTGAGAACTGAATTGGTGGCTGCAAGAGTAGGGAACTTTTGTTGTTATTCTTCTGTTCTCACTTTGTCTACTAGATTTGCAGTCTGCTTGCTCTAATTTTTCTTCTCATTGCATTTCTGTGGTAGGGAAGAATAGCCCTGTTTGGATTCTGTAGAAGATTTTATACTCTGATGGCATCAGGTCAGTGCATGTACTATTAGCAGAAAGAACCATGACTAGTGTCACATCATGTGGATCATTTTTCATTCTTGCCCTTTACAAGTAGAAAAATGTGTGTAATGTAGCATAGTATGTGTTTTAATATACTGTATGTTGCTCTGTACTTACTGTGGCAGAAACCCTTTTGAAGATTGTTCCCCTGTCTCTGATCAGCCCCAGCTCTGTTTTTCTGACCGTGTGGATAGGCTTGTTTGTTGTCAGTACTTGGTGCTGTCAGAGGCCGCTTGCTTTCCTCCCCCGTGTCAGAGCTTAGAGATAGTAGCTCCTTGCAGTGGGCTGTAGCGTGTATGTAAATGGCTTTTTATCAGCCTGTTCTCTCTGTGTGACGCCTCCCACCATAACCACCCCCATACAGACTGTGCTAGGATGGCTCTTGCAGTTTGATTAGGTGCTATGTGTGTATGAATGTCAGTGGATTATACTGGATTTCTTTCAGGGCCCTCAGCCCCAATTTATAGTTAAGGGGGTGGTGACTCTGAAATGCAACACTTCTTAAAATTTATTTTTAATTAAGGGGAATTACTAGAAATTTAGAGGTAGATAAAACTGAGAGAGATCCAAGAAGAACATTTGTAGGCTGATTATTCTAGCTTCAGCACTGGATGATTTATTTTTCTGTATAGAGTTATCTTCTTACCCCCCTCATTTACATAGCAACAAGGTTATGAAATAGAAGCTTTGAAATAATAGGAAAACAACCCATGATATAAAACCAGAAACTTTATAGATAGACTAGAAGACAAAATTTGTTCCGTGTTGGATGCTGTAAAAGGTGTATGCCAATAGAAAGGAGAGAACACAGAATGGGCATTTGTTAAAAGCAGCAAAATAATCATCGTTCCTGTCCCCCACACATTGTCAGTTTGAAGTAAATAGTCTCCCCCTGCTCTACTCTGGTCAGGATTTTCAAAGGTGAAAGGTACTAATATGTGTTCCTCAAGACAGAGTTCCTTGAGGGAATATGCGATGCACCTCTGGCTTGGGAGAGGGCAGAAGGAGTGGGGAGCCACCTCCTGAGCTTACACCGGTGGGACATCCTCTCTTCTCAACCCACTGAACTAACTGCTCAAGTCTGGCTCAAGTTTAAGACAGGAGATGGGGAATCTCCTAGCAGAGTAACCAAGGGGATAAAGCAGACATGTCAGAAGTAAACAAAGCTAAGACTGCCGAGGAACCTCCGGCTCCTTCCAGCGTTGCCGCCTCACAGTGGTTTCTTGTCGGACTCCTGAAGTGAGCTGTGCTGAGGTGCTGTGCCTCCTGGCATCGCAGGGGCCCAGGAGAGCGTGGCTCCTGCTATGCATGGCAGCTCCTCATGTGCAGCAGAATCCTTTGCCATATGCTGCAGCAGTCTAAATAGCTTCCTCGGAGAGGCTGGCCAGTCAGCTGAACTCTTTCTTGTTTAGTCGCCTCTGTGGATCTACGTCAGGAACACTGGGGTTTTGGGTTACATCTCACACGTTTCCCATTAGTATTAGGGAGTGTTGTTATATGTAACTTTTACTGGGGGACATGTGCTGAACTTTTTACAACCTGTGTTGGGCTACTGGGCATCCGTGCAGTTGTCTTTGGTGTAGAAGACCAGAGTTTCCAAGCAGTGGTGTATTTTGGAGGTCTGGTGTGGCATAAGAACCCACATTGATCAGAGTAAAATTGGTATGTAGATATGTAGCCTCTCCAAACAGATTTAGAGATAGAAATGTTGTAGTAGTGTGATGGTGTACAAGGATCTGATAATAAAAGATTTTCATGTAGGGACAGTAGCTGTAGGTCTTCAATTTACATGCTCTTTATTTGTAAGAGGGTTGGACACTGATACAAGAAAGAGTTTGAGTAGTACAAAACCCAGGTTTTTTTCCTTTTGTTGGAAGAGGGTGATCTCGTGGTGAAGTCTCTTGTACCTTGCCAAGAGCTTGCTCTGTGTCCATGTGCAATTTGCATGTGCTCAGATTTTCCAAGAGAGGCCTCAGATTTTCTGACTGTATCATTTTTCCAGGTTTTGTTTTTGTTTTTTCCTCTCAGAACTGCTTTGTTACTGAAAGCTTCACTTAGAAGAGTGGATGCTTAGAAATTTTCAAATCCAGTGCCAGGGTGTTTCTGAATCAGCACCCAGAATCTATGGCTGTTTTTGGAAATACAGGCCTTAATTTCTCTGCTTGCTCATCCCTACCAGAGCGATTGTATGTTCTTTCTTCATAAAGTATTTGAAAGGCACTGTAGAAGCGTGCAACGGCACTAAGTGTTAGAGCAGCATGACCAAAATGCCTTGCATGTGTAGGAATTATATTTTCCTGGGAGTCTTTTCCTGAAAGTCACTAAAACAAAGGGGAAACCCACCTATGGAAAAACTTTCCTGTCAGTTGGTAAATGAAGGAATAACACAACTGTGGTGTGACTGGTGGGCTCCAGTTAAAGAAGGTGTTGCTATCTTACAGGTCTCTCACTGGAGCGCTCAACCAACTCAATTGCCTCACGTGCTCGACTGTGTGAAAAGGAGGAAGAAATCATGGCTTGTTTTGAGACAGCGTGTGTCATTGCCCAGGTGTACTTGCAGGAGCTTGAAAAGGTAAGAAGAAATGTGCTCAGGGTGTTACCTGGTGGCCTGGGGGGAATTTCCATGATTTTGACAGCAAAAATAGTGTGGAAATGCCAAATGATCGTAGGCAGTAAGGAGGATGAGAATAAGTCTGAAGGAGTGAGGTGTCTCAGTATAAGCAAATGCAAACAGCAGTTTATCTATTCTCTGTTTTTTCTGAGAATGAGGTCTGGAAACCAGTTTTGCCTGTGGTAAAGCACTGAATACTTCAGATATGCTCAGGCTGTATATCAAGTTTAGCTCTTACTAAAGAGAGACTACGAACTTTGCATAGCAAGTGTCAACATGAAGGAACCAAAGACATTTTACTTATCTGCTGTGTAAATGATACACAATAGTGGATATTGAGATCCCTAACAACCTGAAAGTAACCTTTTTGGGTCAGTCGTAGCAATTTAACTGCCAGTGCTTCACCGTTTCCATGTGAAACTAGAGGAACCTTGATGGTTAGTAGCAACTAACTGCTTAGTTAGGGGTTGGCTAGCATGCTGAGTAAGATGAGTACTGCGAGCCCTCCACTGAGCTGTAATACGTATCACTAATTTGCTGGGCACGTGCTTAGTGGTCCGCTGTCTCTGTAACTTTGCCTAGCTGAGTTTGACAGGGCACACCGTGCGCTTCCATGCCCTTCCTTTGCCGTGCATTATGCTTGACACCAGCAGCACTGATGGCAATGTGTGTTACCTGTTCTTCTGTAACTTAATGGACTTTGACCTTCTGACCAGGTATTTCTACTCTTCTCAGCAGCAAAGATGTGTGTGTGTGTGTGTTCCAAGTTTTTAATTGCATTAAAACAAGAACAATTATCTTAGTACATATATAATAAATTAATTAAGAAAGCCAGCTAACAAGTTGCATGGTCTGTTTCTTTGTAGGAAAAAACTGAATGGCTTTTTTATATAAAATTAAGTACTGCCCTTCCTTTGCAGAAGGATGATTTCCTGCCAGTACTGGGCACTTGTAAATGTTTTTATTAACAGCTTGTGTCTGTGAAGAGGGGAAAGAGTTTGAACTGTAATTCATTCATACTCTGGACACAGAGACGAGGATATGGGACTACTGATAGAGGTACTAAAAGCCCATAGGCCTTCTCCAGTCCTAGATGTAAAACCTTGCTTTGGAGAGTCCACAAAGGGCAACTTTCAGCAATGAAAGCTGTTTGTTTACCAGTAAGGAAGCAAAACCAGTAAGGGTTTGATAGGAGAAACAGAGGAAAGGCTAAGATTCTTCCATCAGGACTCCTTATAGCTTGCTAACTGTTAACAAATATTTATGTTACGTTAGACTAGATTTACCTACTCAAACATTGCATTAATATTTTTGTGCAAGTTGCTGGATCTGTGTGGTTGGAGTGGTACTTCTGAAGCCCTTGGTATTAATGTGTAGCTTTCTACTTACTTTATTAAAGACTGAGAAGTAATAAGGGATAGTGTTTCAAAACTCATATTGCATGCAGAGTATTTCATGGAAGTCACTGTTATAGTTTATTTTAAAAGTTGACTTTGAAAGGTTTTTGAATAGCTAATGAAGGTAAGTTTTCAGGTAGTCTGAGGGGGAATCTAATGGCAGAAACTAACATTTTATTCTCGGAGATGCGAGTTCCTCATGAGCCAGAGATGAGTTCAAACACTTCTCTGTAATCCCAGATGTTTCTTTCATCCCCTCACAGACCTTAAACAACACACATTCAAGGAGTATCAAGGGCAGCAACGTAACTTACTCTGAGTTTGAACTTTCCTACTTCTTGGAAGCAGCTCTACAGAGCGCCTATGTGACTCATTTAAAGAAGGGGTAAGTGGATGCAGATGTTAATAAAAATAGGTAATGTTGCATGTTTTGTCTTGGAACAGATGAAGGCTTATTTCTTTGTATGTGTTCTGTTGTGACATTTTTGCTGCTGACTCACCTCAAGTCCCCTCAGTGTCCTTCCCTCCCTCCTATTTGACTCTCTGTGTCTCTTTCAGAGTCTTAAGCCTTGTTTTTCCAGACCCACAAGTAGGGTGGAGTACAACAGTTTTGTTGTCTTGACTCAGCTCTGTTCCCTGCGGAGACAAGAGGAGTTTGACTGTAAAGAGAGAGTGGAATTTACACTGCTGTGTGCTTTTAAAATGTTCAGCCGTAGACCCTGTTTTAGAGCTCAGTGAAGTCTTAAGAGTGGTTTCTTTAATTTATTTATTTTTATGTTTGTTTATTTAAAGTCTTAAACACCCCAATCAAAATCCCAGTTCTGTGTGGTTTTACTTGAGAGAATGCATGTGGGAATAGTGCTGCTCCAGAGGATTTATTATGCCTCTGAAGTACAGCTCCCACTGAACCTTGGGAGGGCAAGAGGAGTTGGTATCTGCAAGTCTACAGTGAATTTCACCTGAAAAAAACCTTCTCAAGAACAATAAAAAAGACACTGCAAATGCCCATTTCCAAAGGCCATTGGTGAGGGTGCACTCTTGCCTAAAACAGACTGTGTCTTCAAAATGTAATTGACTCTATTTAGCTGATGGAGTGACTGCCATGAAGGGACAGTGTCTCTTCACCATGTGTAAACACTACTTGTAAGAATCCATCCTTCTCTAGTCCTGTTCTTGCACCATATTGTCCCATTTGTTCTCAAGGAATTAGATGCTGAATTTCCCAGTACTCTGTGTAGTATTGCTGGTCAGTTTTATAAATGGTTTTGAGCAAACTGTCTTTGAAAGTATTTAATTTTGGCTGGTTTTTTTTTTTTCCTTTCACTCTCAGTTGAAGGTATTTTCTCTCATTTTCTTCGCTCTTCCTCCTTTTCCTGCTGCGTAAAATGGAGAAGAAAGTGAAAAATGAGGGAAGATTGAAAGAAAAGTAGAAAAAAAATTCACAGCAAAAATCAGTTTAAATTCTTCTGTAGAAACTTAATGCCATTTTTTGACTCTGTTGGAGGAGGGCTTGCTTGCTAGTTTTTTTTCCCCCCAAGAATGGTTTTAAATGGAACTGTGAATAGTCTCTGTGTCTTCCTTTCTTTTGCTAAAAGCCTACATGTACAGTGAAGCTGTGCTCGTAAGGATATCCATGAGAAGTGCCCTTCAGGTAAGTCTTGTTTAACCCAAAGGCTTACAGATACAGAAAGCCTAAATGTCAGGAAATAACCCCTTTAGTCAGGTGACTACAAGTGTATGTGTAAAAGAAGTAGGGGCTGGTAAGTATGAGGTGCAGTCTCGGTGTCACCTCAGCAGGAGGGGACAGGTATGTGGTTTTCCTGGGCGAGGTGGTGGTTGACCAGCTGCGGCACAGCGTGTGCTTTGCCTAGCCTGTTGCCATTCTATGGTGAACAAAAAGCTCAGATCTTGCCAGTAAGCTCATTAACTATGTAACAAAATAAACTCTCATTTAGAACATGTGGCATCAAAGTCCTCTGGGCACCTTTTGAATATCAAACTCACTCATGTTCATTTTATTCAGCAGTGTATTAAATTCAGTCTTCATCTGTTCAATATAATCAGACGGTTTTTAGCTATTACTGTGGGCCCTGCTTGCTTTCTTCCCACGTTATTTTAATGACAGCTTTTTTTAAAAAAAAAACCCAAAACAACAACAAAACCAAACAAACCACAGAAAACCCCCACACCAAACAAACAAAAAACCCCACCCACAAAAAACCCTACAGGAAAACAATTCGGAATCAGAATACATGTGTGAATTAAGCAGTGCTTTGATTGTAAGCTGAATTGCTGCAATAGCAGCCAAATGTTCTCTGTAGCTGTCTCCTGATGAAAGAGCAACCCGGTTGGTGTGACGGAGCTCCGGTGTCTGGGACGGGAGCAGAGCCCCATGAGCTGCCCCACCTCCTCCAGTGCGAGTGAGAAACACCGGCCAGGGAAATGAAAGGTCCGGTGGGGGGGAAAGGAGCCCGGTGGGGCTCCACAGCTTGTCCCTGCCCCCCGCTGGCATTAATGTGCGGTTTCTGCCACGAGAGGGCATAAGCAGCATTGGGATATGTTAAGGAAAGAGGAGGGACGTGGGAAGAAGCTTTTTAGGATGCTTCATGTGTATAATGCGTTTCTCCACCTGGTATTGAACAGCTCAAAGAAACACTTTTGTTCTCCTTATTGCTTCCAACGTGTTCGGGTAGGAAACAAGCCTTGGAGGATGAATGCTCAAGCTGGCAGAGGGGGTAGGTCCTTTCAGGTGGGATGTCCTTCCCCAGTGGCACATGTGTACAAAAGAAATGACAAGTGTTTTATCCTTGTCTCGCCAGGCAGAAGAGCTGAGGGATATGAGTGGTGGTGTCGTGCTTTTGTTCCTGCTGGCAGGAGCAGCCATGCTGTTGTCAGATCCTGGTCAGGGATGCCCTTTTCTCTTGCAGTGTGCAGTGGAAAGAAAGCACCAGTACAAAACAAAGGTCTGGTCTCCCTTTCAGACATTGAGCTGCCGGCTGTAAGGACCAGCAAGTCCTGCAGCAGTGGAAGTCCTAGATGCTTTTAATAAGGTGTTTACTTAAAAATATTCTGTCGATGAAGACATGTTTCCTGCAGCTGTTTGCCCTGTTGCATCCCAAGAAAGCTTTCTTTTATTCTTCCAGTGAGCAGTGTTGTTGCTGTGGATGCAGAATATAGGCAGGCAGGTGCTCTTGTACTGTAGGAGGCAGCAAGTTGTCTTTCATGTTAGCATCTGCACTGGGTTTTGTTGGTGGTTTTTTGTTTTTCTTTTTTTTTTTTTTTTTTTTAAACTGATGCAGATGTGTGAAGATTAGGCTAATTCTTACTGCCTTTCCTTTCAGAGTATTGAACAGGTATTACCACTTCATACTGTTAAGGGTTTTTTGGTCAAAATGCTCTATTTTCTCAGGGCACACAGACTTCACGTGTGTGAAGCAATTGTTATATGTATGCTGCTCTCTTAACAGCACTTGAAGTACATGTGGAGTTTCACAGGCAAGACAAAGAGCTTTCCAGAGGATGTGGTTGGTTTTGGAAGGTCTAGGTGGGGCACTTTTGAAGAAAAAAAATTTCTGAAAATAAATATGAAGAGCTTATTCTAAATCTGATTTCCTTATGTTCCCTCAATTTAGGACCTAAATTACTTTGGAAAACCCTGATGAAAACACCTAGTAGGGATTTTTTTCACAGTTCTCTCTTCCCTTCTCTCATCAGTCTTCTAGAGCGCTCAGTTCCCTTTTTGAAATTTTTAGGCTCCTGTTGCAAGGGCACTTTGAAAGAGTAACTTCATGTGTGTGTTTTACAGTAGAATGTCATATAGAAAGGCAGGCAGGACAGTCTCTGCCAGGCTATTCGTCTCTTCCTAGTAATTTATGTGGGTTTTCTTGTCATTTACCTTCTCTTCAGTCTTCACAATCTAGAACCTTATCCAGGACACTGCATCTGGTAATTTGGGAGTGAGTATTACTGCCTACTGGATGGATCTAGACAAGTCTTAAGCTTTTCTTTTGTTTTGATTTGATTTGTTGGGGTTTTTTGAGTGCCCCACTTCGGTTAGGCTGCCATTAGGAAGCTCTAATGTGCTTTGTTGTAGTTGACTTGTATCTTCATTCATAGGAATCTGAGACTCTGAGGCTTAATTCTTCGGGTGTGTTTTGTGCTTATGCATGAACAGCTTTTTAAGGAGAGAGTATGCATTTTTAGAAACGTGGTCAAGATGCAAAACAAGCTGGGCAGAGGCAATGATGTTGCTGCTGCTTTTGTGCTTTGGGTACCGCTTTCCCCCGAGAGATTGCTCTGCAAACTGCTGTGTCGTCATCTCAAGATGGTCTCTTCTATCTTTTAGCAGCTAAATGTTTTAACAGTTAATGAGTGAGGATAAGAACATGCTCTTCTGGTGCCCGTGTTGTTGGGGGGACTGTCTTTGCAGACCTCTGTGCCCATGGTCCACTCTGGTTCATTATCTTCTCCAACAATTTGCATAGAAAACAGTATATTTCTTTGTTTTCTTATATCTTTAAAATTTTCTGTAACGTTAACCAAACAGTATGACATAAATGTGATGCAACTGCTTTGGTTCAGGGGCTGGTAATTAATTACACTCTATTAACAGGGTACTTGTACAAACAAAACAGATTTTTATGCCAAGCTGGACTGACTGGACTCAAGATGCTCTTTGTCACAGTTTGTGCCCATGATTTTCCGTGTTCCTCTTTATTAGATTAGTTATAATTGAATCCTAAACTGCATTTCATCATGTTTTTTTAAATGCCTCTCTTGCCACTTCTGTGTCTAAAACCAAGGCGATTTAATGACCACGTGCTTTTCCCTTCCTGTTCTTCCTCGTTTCTTTTTCTGGCATCTTAGCAGTGCAATAGGGGCCCAGGGACTCTTCCAACTCATTCAGTTTCCATGACCTGATGTCCATTCACGATGCCATGGCCTAAGGCAACAGCACCTGGGATTTATGTGTAGTCTTCTATCCAAGTCCTGCAGAGGCTCAAGATTGCTTAGTTTCTTATCTAGACAAGATCAAATGGGCTCACCATGGCTTGCCAGAGGCTTTATGTTTGCATCCTTATCCACTTATCTACATATTTCTGTTCAAATACATGCTTTTCTTTTTGTTAACTTCTTCAGGTCCTAATTTAAAAAACAAAACACCTCTTCAAGTACACATTTAGTGTATGAAGGATGTCTGTTAATGGCACAGTAAGTTCCTTATCATTATGAATAGAGCAATTCATATGCTTAAAATGAAATGTGTGCTCAGATGGCCTCCTGGCTTGAAACAGTAGAGTGGAAAGACAAACTGCTGTAGTGAGGTATGTTTGCAGACTGCTGGCAGGTGTGCTCTGTCTCCTGTCACAGCTCAATAATGTTCAATAAAGTTCAAAATGTAGAAGCTGCCAAATCAAATCCTCAGTTCTGTAGAACTGGTATTGTTTTCAAACGCTTTGCATATTTCAGGGTTGAGAGCTCAGAGCATAGAGCAGGTGCTCTCTGAGAGACCCTGACCAGACAAGCACCTGTCTCAGAGGTGGTGAGTGCTCCTCCCATGCTCCCCGTTTTGCATTTCTACCTTCTGTTGAAGGTGTTCCTAGGTATTTGCCATGCGATTCATAATTTCAACCCTGACGAATTGCAGATGGGCAGCAATTTGCCATTTATTCCTTCATTCGCTTCAGTGTGTCAACATTCCTTCCTTTTCCTCTCCCCTTCTCCCCAGAGCAAGGTGTTTCTGCCATGAACCTTAACTTGGCTTATGGCCTTGTCTAAAAAGTGGGACTGAAATGATGCTCCAGTTCTCCGGGAACAAAACCATCTATTTTTAGCACATTTTCTAGGTTTTTCATCTCTTAAATATGTGCCAAATGTGGAATTAATTGGCTTTGCAAGTGGTCACTAATCTTCTTTCTGATGATAGGTAATGGAATTAATTGACACTTTATTAAGACAAGTACCACTGTCCTAACAAGAAGTCTAAACGTAATGTATTTTTGAAAATTTTGAGGAACTGCTATACACCATAACTCTTCTGACCAGCCTCTGAGGGAGCCCATGGAAGCACAAGAAATGCCCGTAGTTCTCAGTAACTGAGGAGAGCAGTTGGGCAGGTACCTTTTTGTTTAGATGGGGGAATTTATTGATTTTGACTATCAGATAATAAATAGCTTGTGAACAATTCTGTTTGATTTGGTGTGTCTTATGTGCATAGATATCGCCACATGCTTTATTACTTTCCTCAGTTTAAGGTCCAGAACTGCATATTTGTGGATATATTCTTTCCTAGAGCCACAAAAAAGCACCAGATGTCTTTGCCCTGTAACTGGAGAGCTTGTTGAAGCATTAAAGTCCAACTTAGAAAAACTTCCTTGAGCTTTTTCCCTTGATAAATTCAAAGCCCATCTTTTATTTAGGAGAAAGTGGAAGGAAAAAAAAGAAAGACAGCATTTGACTTTCCCCACAGTGGCAAGTCTCCCGTGTTTTTGCTCTTGCTTTACTTTGTCGCTTGTCTGTAGATTGCCCACAACTGAGTAACGTACAGATTAGCTCAGTTTAAAATTTTGAGATGAGTATTGATTGGAAGTAAGGCCACACGCATTTGCATTCTGTGACTTGGTGACCATAAGCTTTAGGGTGGCATTTTATGTAGCCAATATTCATGGTAAACATGATCACATTTCCATCCCCCACCCCTCCCCCCCCCAAAAAAAAAATTCCTTTTTGTTGTTTCTTCAAATGTTTGCCTTTGATTCTGGAGAGCAAGAAGGTTTGCAGTGCGTGAAAGTGGGCATAAGTGCAGTCTGTACTGCTTACCTTCAAAATTTAATCAGATTGACAGAAAACGTTGTTAATAGTGTATGGCTGCCTTTTATTTTTATTTTTTTTTTTTAAATCTAGGCTTTGTCTGCACAGAAAACTCCCCTGAAGTAAACTGAAGAGGCAATTAATGTCTGTTTGTCTTTATTTCAGTACAACATTTCTCCTTTTCTGATAGCTTGTATTTCTTTGTGTAGCTTCCACCCTGCAATGAAAGTGAGCTGAACCATTTTATAGTTACTGTGGTGGTAGGGCCATGTCCTTAGCCTCGAAGAGCTTATAGGCTGCAAGTGTGTTAACTAGTATGTCCAGTGTTTAATCTTTCCTTTCTACATCTCTCTTAGTGCTCAGACACACCACTAAGATACCATTTGGCAACTAGTCTGCTTTAATTGCTCATGATGTATGCAGAATAATGTGATTTTATTTTTTTTATGCTAACCCTCTTTTATTGCAGGTTAAGCTGTGCTTGCAGACAATTACTGCAACTTAGCTGCCTGATAATAAGCTGTTTAAAGCACTGTAATTTCACCATGTGTCTCGACCATCAGACACAAGGCATTTTAAGCGCCACCTAAAAGGAATCGTCATTTAAAAGCATCGCGTAAGCTCAGTATAATTCAAACAAGTACAATCTGTGTGTATGAAGAGGAGATGTGGATGCTTTTAAGAAGAAGCATCTGCTTTATAAATATGAGCTATGAAAGGCTTCCAAATGTCCCCTCTGTTCGTCAAATGCGAATGTGATCTTCTCCTAGGAAGCCATCTGGAGTAGGCATGCTACAGTCGCTGCCTCGCTCGGTGCCATTGTCCTATCTGTGCCTCAGAGTGGCTTCTCTTGCTACTGCACGCTCAATATCAGTAATTGTTTTATGGGTTTATTTGAATGTCAAGTTTGTTGCCAAGCTTTGGTGCATCATAAAAATATTGTGTCTCCAATGTGCTGTTTTTTAGATTTTTTGTGATTATTTTTTTTCCTGCATTCCCTATAGAAATATCGTGAAAGGAATGAGGAGTCTGCGAGAAATACTACGGACTGTGGAAACAAAAGCTACTCAGAGCTTCAAAATGGTAAGGGGAATGAATGGGAGATGGGAAGGTGGGGTAATCTGCTCTACAGGAATTTTCAGTTAACCAGTGCAGTAGGACAAAAACGTATTTGTCCTCACTTTTTCTTTTTTTTTTTTTTTTTTTTTTACTTTTTGAAGTTATGTCTCGAGTGATGCACTTAATTCAAAGACCTGCCCAATTGAAACCTCCAAGCCTTCAGACCTGGGCATGTGGGTTACTTCAGGGTTTTTTTTTTTCAGTGTGTTTTCTAACCCTGGGAGAAATAGGGATGTATTTATCTTGACAGTGCAGTCCTTAGGTGATAATGTTTTGTTTTTCTTTCTCGCTTTTCAGTGTGTGCATGGTGCCTTTTCGCATTTGCATGTAGAAGCATTAAGTACTTCTGGCTCCTGCAACAAGCAATGCTTTTTAGACTCAAGTGTTTTAGTGTTCTTCCTGTAAAACTCCCTTCAATACAGTACAGAGTGATTTTAATTTTTTAAATTTTTTTTTGTTGGTGTTGGCAGTCTGCATCCTGTTATCCTGAGTGCCTCTGGTAAAGAAATCATGGAGAAAGTTATTTATGTGCTGTTTAACTTCTTAGACCTTTTAACTGGTTCTTCCCTGTCTTCCCTTGAGAGATCTTGTCCTGAAGTTACTCAGCAGATGACAAGGTCAACAGCATGGAGAGTAGCAGTCTTGAGAACATGAATGAAAACTTTGCAGCCCTAAAAGCTTTGACATTGATATGACTAAACTTGATTTGTGCTTGATTCAGCTTTGTGTTTTGTGTAATTCAAGATAGGTTTGGCAAGGGAGGTGGACGTGAGTTTGCATGCCTTTCTGGAGGTAGAGTGTGCCAGGTTCCAATGGGTGGACTGACTGTGTGTAGTTCACATGCAAATGCAGAGCTAAAATGAAAGTGCGAGCAGAAAGGGTATCCTGGGTGCTTTTTTGCCTAGGTTCCTCACAGCTATGTGTTTCGGAACTTCTGTTCTGGAAATGAATCTTCTTGTTGCCTTAGGATCACCTTATATGCCTAATTGAGAATACAGATGCATGCCGAAGTTTGTGCAGGCAGTTAGAAGAGGTGACTTAGATAATTGTCACGCTCAAATGGTTGCATCCTCTCTTTCAGATTGAGATGCGAGTTCAGGGGATTTTTCTTGCTCGCCTGTTCTATCAGTTTGCTGAAATGAGTCTAACCATCTGTGGTTCCTATACCGTGACAGAATGTGGCACTCAACTGCTCCTCTGCAACTGGGGAGAGCTGTACAACACCCCTGGGGGGGATTTATTCCTAAGGGGAAATCCAAAGTTCATCCAATAGTTTTTTCTGGGATTTTCGTTTTATAGGAAGCTGCATTTTCATTTTCTTACTTATTTTTAAAGAGCTGTCAAGAGAGCAAAAAGAGGAATGTTCTTAATTAAACAAGTTTTTCAAGCATGAGAGTGAAACACATGATTTTTTTTTTTTTTCCCTAATTTGTGGGATCACAGTGTTCTTCAAACATAATGATGCTTTTTTTAGCCAAAGGCAGTAATAACATAAATCAGAGTCTTGGCCTGTTCTGGTTTGTTTGGTCTTATTCAAAACAAGAGTGAAACTAATTTACACAGCTACTGTACTGTATGTTAAAATCAAAGCCACTAAAAGTATTTGGTGTTTGCCTTTTGAAAGACATATCACAAACTGTGCTCCTCCTTCTCTGTGAACCAGTAGAGATCTTTGTTGCTGGTATATTATTTTTCCCTCCACTCTAAAAAATATAGGAGAGTTGGCTCCTGAGGGTAAAACTGACTAAATAATTACACACTGAGACGATAAAATGATACTGGCTAATGTTGCAGGGCCCTAGGCCATTTTGTTCATGGTTACTTGCTATAAAAAGCATATAAAAACCTAGTTAGAAACAGAAGGCTTTCTGAAACTTGTCAGTAGGATTGCGTGGAAGTTCTTGGGGTTCCAGAGAGTTGTATGAGACAGTATTTGTTTGAGGCACCATCATGCATTCAGATCACTTTGCTATTTGCTAGGCACACCTATGAAACCTCCCTTTCTGGTGTTTAAGAAACAGCACATGCTGCTGTAGTTGCATTTTTAGCTAATTCAGTGAATTCATGTGTGGTGAGGTGGATGAAAATAAAGAACCTTGCATCAAAAGAAGTTATTTTTCTGAATCTGATAACAGGAACTTTAACTGCAGTACGATTTATTTGGTCCTATAGGTGTCATACCTCAAGTGGAGTAATACTTCAGTTTATCAATCATACCTATCCTGGTATTTAAAAGAAAATGACTCTTGGTAGCTTTGTAACACATCTCAAAGTGTAAATTGCATATAAAATACATATGCAGTAGTCAGAGAATTAAAAAAAAATATTTACAAGTATTAGGACAGAAGGGCTGAAATTTCAGCCTGCCTTTGTTCTGTGCTGCGAGGACAGAAGGGCTGAAATTTCAGCCTGCCTCTGTTCTGTGCAATATTTACTTTACAGCTTAGAGTGCTGCGCTGCTTAGAAGTCATAGAAGATACCGCTCATTTTTATGTCTCTGTGCTTGTTTGCATGTTCATCTATTTACAGTGCAAAAAATTAGAGATTTGGGTGGGGGACAAGGACAAGCACTAGGATAGTTTTGCAGAGTCAGGTTAACTTCCCCCTTTTGACCCCAGCTTGCCAGCTATGTGTATGAACTGGAAAGCAAATATTTAAGGATCCTTGGCCACTTAATGTTTGAAAAAGTGCATGTGATGTTGCTGTCTTGATATGAAGTTCCTAACACTCTTCTGTCCTCCATCATTGCAACAAAAGGAGAGGAGCAGTACTGAGATGAAGCTATAAAAGGCCGCAGGAAGAGCGATATAGGGTTGATCTTGTAACAATAAAGGGTTGATCTTGTAAACCAAGTATAAAAGTAGCCTCTGGGCTGAGACTTGCACATAAAATCCTGAGGCTGGGAATGCAGTGGAGTGCCATCATACTCTAATATAGTAACATTTGTGAGATTGTCTCAGTAGTCCATGTGGCAATCAGTTGTCTTCATTCACCAAAGCATACCTTGCTGTCAGGACTTTTTGGTATTTTTTTCCTACAGCATTGCAACAAGAACATGTAAATATAGAAGGTTGGACTTTTCAGAGGAAGGGAGAAACTGGCACTGCTGTAGACTTCTCAGCAGCTGTTTTAGCTCTCTAGCTTTCTGAAAAGTGGTGCTGTCATGTTGTTGGTACATCTGCTTCCCAAGGTGGGACTTGGGGAGGAGAGAATCTTTTGTATTGGAGAAGGCTTCCCTGATGTGTATTTTTCTGTACTGTTCACTGATCTCTAGACTGCAACCAAACAGCTAGCCCAAGTACTTCTCCATTCCCTCAGTGAAGACTGTTACTGGAGCCCTTTATCTGATCCACTTCCTGAGTTCATGAACAAGGAAGATCAGTCTTATGTTAGCAATCTTCTCTGTCGGAGGCCCGAGCTGTACACAGAAGAGAAGTAAGCATTCTTTTTTTTTATTTCAGTTTATTGGAAGGAGAGTGTTTGAACACTCTTTGGTACTGCTAATTACGTCCGTGATTCATGTAGTAGTTTTGTGCGTTCTTGTTTTTTTAACTTCCCATCAAAAGACCTGCTGCAAAAATAAAGCATTAAACCTTGAGTGTTTGCTTATTTTTTTTTTTTCCCCAGAAAGGAAGAAAATCCAGCCAAATAGCTGTCTTTGCTATGAAATGGAAATAATGTTTTTATGGTTCGGTATAGCTCATCTAGGATATATTGCAGAGCTTTTAATTGTGAGAACCTGCAAAAGAAGGTATTGCCTAGCAGATTAATTATGCATGAGATGTTTCAGGTTACTGCTTCTCTTGTGAAATGAGAAGGAGACTGACAGGATAATTCTTCACCTTCCTCAGAAAAATGTGTTCTGTCTTTCAGTGCCTACTGCCCTCAAGACAACGTAGAAGAGGCTCTTCTTCTCCTCTTAATCAGTGAATCCATGGTAAGCCAAAAATAAGTTTGTAATACTAATAATGCAAAGGAATATCTGGCGTTTCCGTGTCAAGTCTTCTGGTTGGTTTTGTTTATGGGATCTTCGCTAGATAAACAGAAGCAAGGATTCGGCTGCTGAACAGGAAATGCTATTTATTCCTTGTTAGTGACAGCACTTTTATTAAATGGAATGTCAGTGAAGGGTTTTAGGAGTTGTCAAGAAGAGGAAGTGACTGCATTCACAATAGCTGCATGCAGGTTTTGACATCCAGATGCATTGTCAGTAGACTGTTTCCATTCAAGACATCTATGTGGTTTTATGGATCAAAAAAATCAGAGGAAAGGAGCCTTGCCTAAAGCCAGGCGTGATGGTGGTACCTGCTGTTTGGCGTTTGCAGGATACGATATCCTTCCTACATTCCTTAGTCTGCAGGGATAATATTTTAACTGTTTCAGTCCTGAGTGATCTTTGCCAGTTTCTGATGCTGATGATACGAGGAGTTTTGTCACATGCAGAAACATCCATAATGAACTTCAGTGAAATGATTAGATTTCTTCTGTTTATAACATCAGTTGCTTTAAAAAAAAAAAAAATCCCTTTAAGAGGAAGGGAAGAAGGTGGAGAAAAACAGCTGCATAGAAAACTGCATGGTAACCTTTGATCATTTTCATGTTCTGAGAAGGTGCAAACGTACAGAGAATGTGTAAGGAGAGTTACTTTGCTTTAAATACTGAGTGGTCACTTGTAGCTCAAAGTGAGACTTGAAAACCTTGGAGCATCAATGGCCCTCTTAGGAACTTTTAAATAGCTTTCGGACAAGTTGAAAAGAGATACTGTGGAAACTTTGTTTTTATTTGTTTTTTGCTTCCTTCAGTTTTTCTTTGGTTCTTCTGGATCATGTCTTTCCCTTTTCCTGCAAACTTCATCAGAATATGACAATTCCATATTGTTTGCTTTTAAAATTTTGGGAAAAAGTTAGAAGACAGAACCACACCAAAATATTTAATTGACTTAAAAATCAGTACATCTGAGTGTTACTATACTCTGTGCCTTTTAGTGCTTTCTAGATTAAGCATCTACAGCACATCTGTTTGTGTTTTCGAGGGCTTTTCTTCAGTTAGAAGGGCTTTTCATAATTGAAAGTGGAAGACTCCTGGAGTGACGGCTTGTAGAATGCCACATGCACTTCTATTAAAATCAGAATAACTCATGTCAGCATCTCTTGTCAGGGCTTATCCAAGCAGGAGAAGGATCAGGGGTCTTCAGCAGTGACAATACTGTCTACTCCAGACTCTTCTGGGACCAGGGTTGCAGTCAGAAAGGTCTTTGGGGACCTTGAACTCTAGAATCTTGTTCTGCTGAGGTGAATGAAAGTTATCCTTGTTTTGTCCAATAGTGTGTAAAATGGCGAACTACTCCTGTAACTAAGCAGTGTGAAAATGCTATTGATAGGAGCTGGACTGCTGTGCTTATAACATCAGTTGCTTTAAAAGCTTGTGTCAAGGCTAAATAAATAAGCTTGTGTTTGCTTAAGTGCTGTCTTCTATATATAGAAACTTTCTGGAGGTAGATGCAAGGCATTTTGATCTGCTCCATATAAAGCACTTAAATAATCAAAGATCCTGTAGTGGAGCGCTGCAGAAACAATAACTGTCTTTCTGTTTTTTTGGGAAATGGAACATCTGAGCTTTCCTCTTGCATTAGCAATAGGCTTGCAGTGAGTTTGTTGTTTTAACAAAAATATAGGACAAGTCTCTAGAAGTACAGCTGTGTATAGAAGTACACTTAGGAACCACAGGATTGTGCTTCCTAAGTGAAAGAACAGAGGAGGCAGTCTGATCTTTACATATGTTCGCAATCCATAAATATTTTTCTGTAGTTAAACTGTTAAGGTACTAAGAAGGGGAAATTTGGTTTAATTTATGACATGAGACATCTTTTCCATGACAGCTTTCTTGTAGGCTAGTGAGTTTTCTCATGTACAGGTTTGTTTGTGCTTTGAAGTTTTTTGTTTGTTTTTTTGTTTTGTTTTTTTTTTTAACTTGCTGAAGCTCATGGAAAATGAGTTAACAAGAAGCAGATTTCCAGTTGAGGTCTCCCTAATGATAGAATGTTAACAACTGAATAAAACATATTTTCCTTCCTGGAGAGAGTGTCAGTGGCAAGCGATAATGATATGTTTCTGTAGGCCAGCAAGGAACATAGTTGATGTTCCTGGATTTTGGCTGGATTAGGCATTCTTTCAGTATTTACAATTATGAACTCCTTAAAATGAAACAGAAGTATACAATTAGGTTGGCTTGCTGGGAGCTCTTCAGCTTCTCTGACACTTTGATTACTCTGTCAGAGCAAAACTCACCAGAAAGGTACTTTTGCTGTCTGATTTTTAAAGAGACAAAAGAACAACCATGCCATTATAACTCTCTTGCAGGACTGTAAAGCCAAACAGCTGCTCCACATGCCTGTTCCTGACTTTTGCTACTCCAAAATGAGCTGAAGGGGACAAAACTGGGGGGAGGAGGGACAGAAGAATTATCAGAATGTGGAGGGGACACAGAGCAAAGACGTACTGGAGAGGAGCATAAATCATCAGAGAATCTCAAAGTATATATGTGATAAATTTGATGAAAAGGAGACATGGTAGCTTTTTCAAGAAGAATACACCTGTAACACCTTTTTTCCAGCCCCCCACCCCCTGCCAAGCCATACAGGAAGGGAGTAGATCAGTCCTAAGTAGTTTGCTGCTGAAATTCACTCTATTTTTCTATTTGTCTTGCCTCCCTAAGGTGAAGCTAACATCTACTTCACCAGGAGCTGTGCAACTCCTCAGAAGATGTTATGGGAGTTACGAGAACTGTTCCTGTAAGGGGGAAAGGAGGAAAATAAATTGCCTTTAAGGTGTTGTGAGCTAGACGCTACATTCCAGCACACCTCTGGCTCTTAGTAATGCTAGGTTCAGGCTTGTGATGCTGCCCCAGTTTTTCTTTTTATCCCTTTACCTTGCATTGAAAGGAAGCCACTTTGTAAGTTCTGGTGGGATGAAATGAGAATATCTTCTTAAGCAGTAATTAAGGGTTCCTTCAGTATTTCACTCACTGTGCCTCTGAGCCTAAGTATATAAAAGTTTTTCAGATGGACAAATAACATGGTAGCCTCTTTCACAGCTTTGAAGATGTTTCTGTGAGTATATTAACACTTACAATGAAAGCTTGCAGCCTCTTTCCTTATAGCACTCTCCTGAGTTGTCTCCTGTATTCTTTCTGTCCCGTTGAAAATGGGAACCTATTTTCATGAGTGAAGGCATCTCAGTAAACAATGAAAAGCATCCTGGTTGTTGAGTTTGGCAAGTGTTCCTCCTCCATGCCAGCTGTTATTTAGTCACAGTGGTTGGCTGTGGAGTTCTCATGAAGGAATCTAGTGAAACAAATCGGGCAGCCTGAAGATTACCACAGTCAGGGCTGTCTTTAGGGGGATTTGTGGCCTCCTGGCTAAATTCTCATTCCTTATGCGCAGCCTGACTTACGGTATGGATGGGCTGTGTTTGTCAGGGAGGGAAAATGCTCTCCTTCAGACCAAGGAGAAGGCCAGCTGGTGACAGCCTTTACAGGCTCAGGCTGTGGTAGAATGATGTGTTCCTGTCACATGTTGGAAAAAATGGACTGGCCTATTTTTAAACTGCTAGTCCCCTTTCTTATTGCATTTAACCCATCAAAACCAGTGGTGCTCAGTTTGTGGGGAGAACCGAGGGCATACTGTGCCTTGCTGCAGTATGATTTCTCTGCATTGCACTACCAGTGGGAGCGGCACTGGTTCTGCCATCAGGGATTCGGGTGCTTTGTACTGCAGGGTGTAGGCAAGGGAGGTTTGGCAGGACTAACCCTTAGCTGCAGTTTTGTTTATTTTAATGAGAATTCTCAGGAGTATTCTGAGTTGACTGCACTGCGCCTTAAAGTCAGCCAGAAGTTTCTCAGAGCCAGGAATGGAACACTCTCTATTACTTTTTGTGTTTACTTTTGAGGGAAAATCCAGAAAAAGTTCTTTATTTGCACTTAGAAACCTTGCCTTCTTGAATCTGAAGTCCAATGTATGGTTTAAACCCCCTTTATTCAGCCCTTGGCAATGCTGGCTTTTACAACTGGGGATTCTGGCTGGGGCGGTACACCAAACATACCAGGTAACATGGATTATTTTTCTTGGCTCTGTCTTCACTTCACTTATACTGAAAATGAAGCTCCTTGTATCCAAAACTAATAAATTCCGTGCCTGTGTAACAAAATTAGAAATGTCATCCCCATCTTATCTCTCATTTGAATCCCTAAAGGCGATTTGACCTTGGAGAACCTGAGCGCACAGCACAGATGGTGAGGGGGGAAGTAAGATACTGGGACTTCTCTTTTTACTGGTGAGAGCAAACTCATGGTGTGAGCATGGCTTTAATGGAATAAGATTAAACCCATGTATTTTTAAGCACAGAAGTAATTAAAACCTGTTAACTCTACAGTTCCTAGCTTTTTAAAATAATGCTGCCCAACAAATGGGTTGACAGAGGAGAAAGAAGAATCTCTTGTTGCTTTTATAGGATTTTTTTTTTTTTTGAATGACAAAGCCCAGTGATGATACAACAGTTGGATGACCACCACGGATATTTTCTTGGGGGCTATTGGACTATGGCAGCTGAAGGAGACAACTGGGGACAGGATTGCCTGCTCTATTGATTCCTGCCAAATCACAGCCATGCTCTTACAATAAATAGCAAGCTCAACTGTCTCTTTAACTGGTCTACACGGCAAAACTGTGTGTTTGGGACCTACAAAGGAGGATTGCAAGGTGTTTCTTGTGAGAAATACACTGCCTCTGTTAATTGCCTCTGGAATAAATAGCTCTCATGTGAGTTGCGGAAGACAGGATAGAGAGCTTTTTTTCTTCTGCTTTGCAGTAGGAAGTCTTGTTTCCAAACTTGCAGGGAGGATGCAAATTGTTGGAAGATAGCTTTCTAAATGGAGATTACT